TCTCCTCCACCAACCCCTCTTCTTCCCTTTCACCATTTTACTTACTTCCCCTCTCTTTCTGAATCCTGCCTTCATCTGGAGGAGGAAGAGGAATGCTAATCAAATAACCTTTATAGAATATAACTACTCAACAAACAGGTCTTTGACTTTTTGGTACCATCACCAATTGGAATGTCAAAAATGGCACCTATCTTTTTATCCGAAGGCCAGGATCGAACATATATAATCCTCCACATGCACTTGTTACATGTCAATGTTAAGAGATGTCTGCTGGGATGGAATGCTGGCCGCCACACCATCGTTGGATTAAAAACAAACAGAAAGAGACTGACCCTTGTATTCTGTTGCATAGCATCTTGTCTCTAAATCTAAAAGCCACAGTTTTTTAAGTCTTCATTGTTTTGTGTTGTGAAAGATGGGGGTAGGCAAGTTTTGAAATGGAAAATCTTATGAGAGAGACTCTGTGCAGTTTATTCTTTTGATTTTTATGTCACCCATAGAAATGATAGAAATGGGAACGAACATCTTGCTCAGTCATTTGTATTGACAGTTTAATGTTCCCCAACGACATTCATTCTTGTTCACATTGTATTTCAATGTCCCCTGAGTAATAAGATCAGAAGGAATATGTTCAATCTTCTTTTCTTTAATACTCATTCTGTTATATATGTATTTATATTTATGTTAAGTCACTAAAAGAAAATATATTTGACCAATTAGGCATAGGAAACTTTTGAAATTAGCAGACACAATGTTTCTTTGTCTTTTTCTCTAGTATTATAAACTTCCAGGAAGAGAGAAAACTAAAAAGGAATAACATCATATAGAGTATCCCATAAGAATTATTAATATTTTTCCATTAACATTCAGCTTCTGGTTCCTCATCAAATCAGGTGAGAGGTAATGAGACATCCGATTCTAAAAGCAGAATGTTAGCACTGGCTATTCTGGCATTTAGAAATACAGTTGCTACTAAGTCACCTTGAAATGTCTTTACTAGCCTTTTGCATCTGATATTAGGTCCCAGGACATTCAAATTAGTTGTGCTTTTGGTAGTTATACATTACAATGCTAATTAGATAATATGAACATCTTAGAATAAATGCTGAGATCTGGCATAACATTATGTGGGACATCCTTGTAAAATGTAATTTTTGAGAGGATGCCTAATTAGAACTAAGAATTACTATTCACCCAGGGAATATTAACATGCACAGTAAAAACTTCTTCATTAATTTGGAGATTACATTTTTAAATGACTTTTAAAACAATCTCTGTAATATGTGTTATTAAATAATGATATGTATTTCAAAAAGTTTTTCAAATTCCTGCATATTTTATGCTACGCTTGTCACCTTTTCTTTAATATACTATATAGAGCTATTTCACAAAACCAATTATGCTTACATGTTAATCAACAAAATCAAGCAGCCCTTTCCTTAAATAAATTTAGCTGCAAGATTCCTTTTACCTACAAATTGTCATCTCATCTTTACTTGTCTTCTTGACAGTTACTACCAGGCTAAGGTTTACTCTCACAAAATCACAAATGTTAAACATTTTTGTTCCTATATTCTAATGTCATCTGAAATGCTTTAATAATGGTGACTAAATGCTTCTGAAACACATCACATTTGTAAATTTCATAGAGAAATGGTGATTATATATAGAAATGCATTAACAACCTGAAACAGTAGCTATGAATCAATCTATATACCAAATTTAAAGTGATCTTAAAAGGTATCAGTAAGGTTGGGTGTAGCTGAGCATTTGTGATCACAGTTATTAGTTTAGAAATAAGAGTTTCAAAGAAACTTTTTGAAAAATCAATTCTTTATCAATTATGGTTAACATACACTTTTTCAATGTGCGTATTTTATAATGTAGCATTTTATCCACAAACATCTTACACCAGTTATGTACAAATCACTGTTACATGAAGCAAATAACAACTATCATTTTAGTACCCTTCTCTATCTTTTTTAGCTCCTACGGTAATGCACATTTGAAAGGTCTTTTTTTTTTTTTTTTGAGTAAAATCATGTATCACATGACATTGAGTCTTCTGATGTCCTGACCAAAGGTAAAACTATACAGGGCAGATACAGCAGAGGGTAGGGAGTTTGTCGAAACATGTCAGTACTCTTCTGACCTATACACTTTGCCTTTTTTTGGATGCTCTCTCAAATACTCAAGGAAAGAAATCAGAGCTCTAGCCGTGATGTTTCCTTTGATCTCATGTTATGAAGACTATTAATGTCACTTCCAGACCAGCTTCTTCCGTTTGCTCACTTGGAAAAGCCAAGAGGCAAGTAAAACAGTTACTTTCTGTGGATTCCTAGTCTATAGTTTCTCACTTTCATGATTTGGCTTAGAGGCATATTAAGAGTTTGTTTTCAAAGGAATAAAAAAACTGAATTCTCCCTTAGCAGAATCCGAAGTTGGAGAGACAAGTGGAGCTAAGAACAACTTCAACTGCTGCAGGTTAGTATTGATGAAGCATTTATTCCAATAGCAACGAAGTGATAGAAACAGAAATAGGAACCTGGATTAAAAATAGTATGTAAACTTAAAATAGTATAGAAAGGAAATAAAATATTATGAATATTTATGAAACACCAGTCAAAAATAAGATGATATTAGTAACTTTGTTTGAAAATCAATTCTGTAAAATTGTAAGAAGATAATTTATCATAAACAGAATTCTCTTCTAAATACCTACATCTTTTCAAGTTCCTAAGTATATACTTATGTTGAATATTTTATTTATTTTAATGGTAGTCTCATAATCTTGCTGCATTGATCATGCTTATAACTTCTATATTATAGGAATGAAACCTAGGAGAAATTTGATGTATAATAGTTTAAAATAACATGTATTTTCCCTTTTCTACTCCACTAAATGGAATTATGAATAAAAAGCAGATAATAATTAAAATAAAAAGAAATACATCACAATTTAAGACACTTAGGAATGGTAGAAGAAATTAATTATTCTTATAACAAGAAAATCACAATTACTCAAGACAAGCTTTTTAACTAACTGGGAAATTATGATGGTAGCTTTTTGTCAATAAACAGATGATTTCCAAATAAATGTTAAGTCTAATCTAATTTAGACATGCCAAGATATACACTAATTTATTATGATAAAATGTTTAGAATTTTTATACTTGTTGCTCATCTGTAAACAATTTTATGCTTCTATCATAATGTGTAATATCAAAATAAAGCA